CTCTTTCAATAATATTTTTTTTATACATTTATGTTTATTTTCCATTGTTATTCACTTTCAGATTTCAAAATATAATTTCATAATAATTTGACATTCAATTCTAAATCAATACTTGTCAATGAATAAATTATACATAAATAGCTGTCAATTTACTGTACAATTTTCGTGCAGTTATTCTCCATGGTATTGATCAAATCAAACTTTAGTCACTTATGGTTATTAAAGTCTGTTAGTCGATGAGTGATAAAAGCCGATTATTAATAAGTGACACTAGTGACTAGTAAATACTAATAAAATCTCATAAATTCAATTAGCATGTATATTATTATAATAATGTTGATATTGGTGTGTGATATTTATATACCTAATTTAAACTTTTGCACTAAATATAAAAAAGGACCTCCTCATACTTTGCTTTGTATTTTACTTTTATAGTTTAAAGGAATTTCAATTATTTTCCACAAGGTCCAAGGACGTATAATTTATGAAATTCGATCAACTTATAATACGAAAACGTAATAGTCTATATCAATAAAATTCAGTGTGTGTGTGTGTGTGTGTGTGTGTGTGTGTGTGTGTGTGTGTGTGTGTGTAAGAGATCCACAGCCAAACCTAACACACTCACGGTTCTAAAATTTGCTGCAAACAATATTTTTCAAATGTTGCGTTTTAAAGATGGACTCACTGCACATGACCATATACAGGATTACTAACCCTACAAATATAAAATAAAATAGTTACAATAATTGAATATAATTTTAGACCTGTATTTTATACTTGGTCAAAACCATTCAAATTAATGTGTTAAAAATATGTGCAGTTTTCATTTAACGACAGTATAAATCCACTATTTATTTGATCGCTGATAACACCGTACAGAATCAGACATAATTAATAATATATCTTTAATATAAAATCAAAGGCCTAAAACGAATAACCATTATGTAAATACACAGTCTTCGACCGATTTTCATAAGTTGGTCATGGATTCAACAAGAACAGTAATGTCATAGGCTAGTTTGTATTATTTACTTTTTACTTTTCAACACTTACATTTTAATATGGTTGACTAACCTGGACTATAATATTTTTAATTGATATATTGTTGACAATTGCACAAGTCAGATTATATTATGAGGTATAATTTTAAACATTATTTTATATTTTGTCTAAAAAACTGAAATAACTGTGTTAAAAATCTATGCTGTTCACTTTTAACGGAGTGTTCAAGAAGGTATAAATCCACGGATATTTAATTCATCACGAAAATGCCGTGAAGGATCAGCTATATTATAATGTAATATCATACAATGTTGTGATATTGAATCTATGTACAACATCTTATGATATATTGTGTAGGTACTAAATCCTCATCACATTAATCAAATGCACGAGTATATTAAACCTTTTTTTTAAATCGCGAGTCAACGTCAGCCGATCCCTATTTTAAAATTATTTTAATGAAATTCCCTTAGACTCTTCAATCTTCATATTGTGAAATTTGTTGATATATTTGATAGAAAACTGCATTTCTGGTTCAATACATTTAAATGAAAAAATATCTCGAATTCAAGAAAGATAATAGAATGGAAAGTAATTCAATCTTTTTAATGTTGGTATTCAATAAAAAAAAGCTATACATCGCATCGGCTTGATTTATATTATTAGAAATAAGTGAAACTAATGTTTTATTTTTTATTTTTACCACCATTATTTATAACAGCTTTATCTACAATCTGACTGAATTTTTACATTAACATTACACGACGTCAACGTTAAAAACTTAAATGTCAATAAATGAAAACTAGATTTTGTAAGGTATAAAAAAAAAAGGTCACTTTATAATACTTCAATCCTGGCATGGGGTTTCCGTATCTACATGATCAATCATGTAAGAGCAAAATAATCATATATCAAAGCATTGTAATATTATTTGTTTACGACTTTATATGTGAAACAGTAGATGACAAGACGCACAAATATTTATATGTATATATACACACGAACATGTTAAGCTGTACACATATTATCATATTATGCGATGCTTTGAAGTGTGTTTATCCAAATAGGTTTTGCGTTCAAATTAAATTTACTAACGCTCGTTGTTTGGAATAAAAACGAAAAATGTCATTATGAAATACGTGCCTATCTATAATAATAAACTTTACCGTACGTACGTAGCGTAAACGTAGGTAGGGTGGTCGAAAACGACTGCAACGTGATACTTATATGATGTAGTTTGCGAGCTTTAAAAGTTTCGGACGGATAATAATAATTTATAAGAAGCACGCGCGTATTCAAAGGATAACATGGTATCGTTTGTCATGGCATAATACCGCAGTTATTTTAATTTGTCAAATGGATTTTGCGTTATTGTAGGTAAAGTTGTACACGTCATAATAACATTGCAGTGTATAGATATATTATTTACTTACGAATGTATGTAATATAATAATATATCATAATAATATTGTGGACCGGAGACGGCGATTATTGTGAAATAAAACTGCTACAACGGCAACGAAAACGACGCAACAACAATGACAACGACAACAACAACAACAACAACAACAAACAATAATAATAATAGTTGCAATGATCACACGTCAGTCGCGTACCTACGTCATGTTTCGGGGACTCGGATCACGCGGTGACCGAACACGACCGTCCCCGAGGAAACGAAACCGTCGACCGACTATAATATAATATATATTTATCGTATACATACATAAGTGATGGGCCCACTGCGGGGTGGCGGGTGCAGCGGGTGCAGCGGCTGAAGAACAACCGCGTGCATATTTGTTCGGTTTTTACGTGCTCGGCGCGGGACACACGGTTGTATATAATATCATGGCTGGTATGCAGGGCCGAGTGAGTGGAGCAAAGTTTTAGAGGAAAACTTTATTTTCCGGCATTTCTACGAAATATTATTATTATTATTATTAAAGTTTCCACAGCGCACACACGTGTATGAAACTCACACCGACATGAGGCAGCGCGCTTGCGCCGAGCGGGGGTCGCGGGCGTCCGAGGGTGGAGGCGGCGAAGGGAAAACGTGTACCAAACGGGGGCCTGCGTGTGCAAAAGTCTCGCTAATAGAAGATTTTCCGCGTGACGAGGCGACGTACACAGCACAACAGAACAACCCGCAGCAATCTTGTTTCTCTGCTGTGTGCCTGCGACGACGACGACTATAATTATTATGAATATGTTACGCCAGCCGCAATAAATCAATCTTAATTATCGTGTTATGCCGAGACTTACTTTTTGCGTCCCGGCAATGTCGAGCGTACATTATTATTATTACAAAGGTGCCTTTGGAGAAATGGCTCTTGCGCTCGGCGTTTTCTAATTAACCGGAGCCTTTGCCCCTCTGCACCAGCACGCGGCGGCCCTTGCAGCTCGGACACGTAATTGGTCAACGTGCAGCGCACTCGGATCATAGGAGGTTATAATATTATAACCTGCGCGCGTATTACGTGTCGCTTTTGTTCAGGGACAAAGGATTGCTTGTAAAAATAAGTGCGTTTAATACAATACAATACAATCTATGTATATATATATATTAAGAGGCCTCCGTCTGCCGCCCCGGTGCGAAGCCTTTTGATATATTGCACGGAGCGCGTATAATGCGAGTAAACGGGCAAACGAGAAATTACTTAAGTATAATATTATTCTTTTTTCGCTTAATTTTTTTTCCTCTGCCGCCGTCGCTTGTTCCCGACGACGGCTTTTCGCTTAGCTGGGTACATTTACCGTATAGCTACGCCCAACAAATGACGCATTTCACGATCGAGTTCATATTATTATATTACATAATATATGGGTAGGCAGGTACACACGACGAAAAATTATTATACGGAAAATTCCGGGGAATTTAATTATTATTTAAATAGCAGAAAACGTATTACACGTGCTACGTGGGCGCAGGTTTCATAATACAATATACCTACCTACTTTAGCTTAATGCTCAGAACTACAATATAGGTGTAGAAATATTAATCGATATAGCCCCGTAGCAACAAGACTACGTTTTAAAAATTTTTTAATTTAAAATAAAATCTTATTATCTACCCAGTTAAACGTCTTGTATTGTATATTGTAATTTGAAACAACACTTGGATTCAACTAGTTTGTATCGTATAAAAATTCAACTTGCAGTTTACGATACTTTTGGTCTGAAAAGGGCCGGTTACGTTCATTAACAATATGTAAGCAATATTACAAGTGCATACACAAGGCGTCACGAATTATGAGTACACGAGAAGTATAATGAAACGATAATTTGTGGTTGTCTTGCAATATTATAAGCCATTATCCAAACCAGCATACAACAAAATCTTATGATCTAGACGTCCAATTTTAATTTAGCCTGCATATTTTGACAATACGTAGCATTATACGGAATTTCATACATTTTTAGACATGGAACCATTTAATATTTTACACTACGAAATGATTTGTAAAATATTTTTCTGGTAAATCCGTTGCCTCGGAAAAGAAGATAATATGGATTCGGTTTTAAATTTCCAAAATTAAAATTAAAATTAGGGAATTATTATACTACTGCAATGTTCAAAATGATGTTACTACAACATAGTAGGTATCCTGGTGTAAACTATTATAATATGAAACATTTTAAATACTCCTTCAACTAGAAAAAATACTTCTACACACACACAAAGAAATATGAAATCACATTGTTGCAGTGAAACCAACAATACTTTCCTTTCTAGTTGTTATACAACTTACTATAAATTGTAGTTGATAGATAGCTATTACTATGTGGTGCAACAAGTCGAAACTAATTGTGTGTCTCTGATTTTGTATTGGATATAAACGCATACAGTTTTTAAATATAAGAAAAAATGATGTTACTATATGGCTACTTACCAACCTAAGCCCTAAATGTATCGTAATGGAACAATAATTATTATAACCATGTCCAACAGGTACATATATTTTTAAATTTTAATCGTAAAATAATTTTTGATTCTCAGTTATGCCTTACGTCTGATGTGAGCACAGCTGACTTCAACATGGGCTACAGTATCACCGGTTCGCTGGAGTGTGGATCCACAAAAAACAACAGTTTCCAAACAACACATTTCGCCGTTATTCGGAGAAGAGACTTCGATACAAATCGGCCGTAACAATACAAAGTAACTCGGATAAAAGAAAAAAAGGATTGTCCAGACCAATTGACGCGTGCCAGAGAGTACTCGCCGAATTGTGTCAAAATCCTTAACAATTATAAAGATAATATAATAATACGTTAAGAAGATGTCAGAGCACTTTTTTTTCTATTTCTGAACCACCGCAAACATATGCAAAACACATTTTCAAAGAATCATTGCTTTATGTTTTTGAGTAGTCTTAGTGTAGTCGCCCATTACCAAAAACGATGCAGAATAATATTTTTGATTGTACGACATGTCAATTCGTTAAACAAATTAAACATCATTTAAATTTACGAATATATATATATATATTTTAAGTCGAATACAAAGTCAAATAATAATTAAAAACAAAATCGATGTATCATACACTCAAAAATATTATCACCAATCATTTCTGTAATGGGTGATTTTACTCTAAGAATACTCAAAAACCATAAAAACCGATTCTAGGTGAAAGCGTTATATCTATTTTACACTTGAGTCAGAAAGAAAAACAAATATTGCGCTGACATCCCCTTAAAGACATACAATAAGCATACAAAACATACTATGGGAGGGGGAGGGGTGGCTGTGTTCACATTTTTCTGAATCAAATGAGATAATATTATTTTCGTAGCAAAATACATTACTTTTGTCATTATAAATATAATATTATATAGGCACCTATATTGGTATGACAATATTTTTTGTAGATAACGACTGCAGGATTCATATTCACTGCCAATTTTGTTTTATATGTTTTTTTTTTTATTATAAACACATCTTGTAAATATAATAATCGTATACCAACATAATGTTTGTTAAAATCAGTACAATCCAAATAAATACGTAGGGTGGTTAATATTTTAATCATATCCCATAAAATAATACACTAAATAGTAAATAGATATGCACAATTATTTTGTTTCTAGTGCAGTATAAACCTGCACATTGAATATGAGGATTAAACTAAATTCGATTACTCCGCAGAAGTGATTTGAAATTATTTAATCCTCATGTTCGGTTGTTGAAAGTAATTAATTAAATAAATAATAGTAATACACTGGCTAGCTGCTAGTTATGATTTTATGAGTATGCGTCAAATACTATGGTCAAATTAATTTTTAGTATGGGAAATGAGTATAATTTGAAGTAGTTAAAAATATCATATCGTAATAATATTATTATGTGCTACCTCAGCTTATCCCAAAATTAGTATTTTTCTATTGTTATTAATGAAAATAAAATAACATATTATGCAATATTATTTTGGTTGGTATAAAGCAACATGATAATTGGATAATACCTATATAATCTGATAAAATATACGTTTTACAAAATACATGCCGAATCGAACAATTTTGTAACGGGTTGTATGATAACATTTCTCCGTTATAAAATTATTATATTCTTCAGTAATTCAAACTATTATATTATTATTTTATGGTTTAAATGGCCTGTGAAATATAATGTTAGGTGTTAATTTAAAGTTATAATATAGGTGTATAAAAATAAAGTTTAAGAGTAGAATAAGAAGTATCTATACAAGTATAATTTATTATAAGAAAAATATTTTTTTTTTAGTAGACAATTTTATTTTCATTGATTAATACATAAATGTTAAAAAGTGTGGTTTTTTTTTTTTGTTACTATTTTTTCAATACTCAGAAATCAAATTGTATTAATTTATTTTTGAAAATAACAAAAATGGCTTTTATGTTTTTGTCCACATATTAAACACTGCGGATTCGTCACCCTATAGATCCATTTCCAGTGGACGCGGCAAGTAACTTTAAAGCAGGGTGAAGTTTCAGGGAAAAGTTTAAAAAAAATGCAGAACATAAAACTTTCTGTTTTAGATTTTCAGTTAAAGTTTTAAGAATTCGCATGAGCTGTAATGTAAATTTCTGGCATTTTATATACTTTTCATTGCAATCCCAACGATAATCCGTACGTGAGCTGGTTTTATCACTCAAACGTGATTCAAATGTATCTGATCAGATATGTATGCGCTCAAATGTCTTGGATTTCTTAAAAGTTTAACAACTAATTTTTTTAATGTTACTTCCATTTTATACAACCAAAATTATACTGTTAGCATCGACGTTATAAATACCTAATTAATAACTATAGTTTAAGAGTTATAAGTCGAGCAATGATGATTTTATGATAAAAATTAATTTTTAAGTTATAAACTACTTAACTACAAATATACAAGATTGATTTGTAAAAAAAAAAATAGTTCTTAAAATATACATTAATCGGTGTTTTACGGCCATAAAATCAGATAACCCGTCCATAAACATTTTGATGTCACTATATCCAATAAACATCTAACTATGGTACATTTATTATATTATTTTAAATGTTCTGATGTTTTTAATATTTTGCCTACTATATTAGTTAAATTTTTGTGTCCTAAAAATTAGATTAATGTACACACAATCAATGAAGTATTTTAATACGAAATTATAAAGTTAAATAGAGCTGTATAATACCTAGAATTAATTAATACATAAGGTTGTAAAATATGCTTTCATAGAACTGTTTATTTATGACTTAAACTTAGGCATAAAAATCTATGTATTTATTGTGTATTTGCTTTAATTTTGACACACATTTGTGATATTGAAACAACGCAAATAAACGTTTATCGATTTGCTATATTTGTGTTTTTGTTATCATTTCTTTGTATTACTATTAAAATATCAAACTATTTTTTCCATTACAAGTAGCTATTTCCTTGATCTCGGTACATTAAATTGAAGTTTTCACCATTTATAGTACCTAACTATTAACTTTAATTCAAAATAAAATATATAGTAACTACATGTAAAAAAATCAATTTTATATTGATGTAAATTAATTAAAAAATTTTTTAATGGTTTTATAATTACATTTTATTATAAAAACATGATTTTGAATAATTTTTAATATTATTCTGAGTGTGTGAAATTAAATATGATGTCTAGTGTAATATATATTACATAATATTTCAAATTAATTAATTATATGGCTAATTATATTATATATTACATCACGGCAGTTAAAGATTTAAAATTTAATAATAATTATTTACAAAGTTTTACAAAAGTAAAAATAAACTTAAATGCCTTTTTTGTAATATTTTAAGAACAAAAAATATGATCTGGTTTGCTCTACTTTTAGTAAGATCTCAGATATTTGTCGGATATTCTTAGCTATACTGAATCGTTTTTCAAATTCAATGATTTATCATTGCTTTCAAATATAAAGACATAACCTGTCTCAGTAGCCAACCTAACTTTAAATATACACTTTTATTTAGTTTATTATAGTGGTTGAAGTTGAACCAACTCTGTAAGTAAAAAAAAAATGACTGAGTGTCTGTGTCCGAGTTGTTTACTTACAAACTGCAGTTCAAATAATGTTTACGTCTGGATTTTGTCTTATTCGTAACATACGACCAAAATGATAAATTATGTTACGTAGTTTCAATTCCATCTCTAAACTTTTCATACAAATATAAAGAAGAAGAAATTCATAATTATAATTTAGGATGTTTCTAAAAACACACAATTATATTAGGTATTGAAAATAATTTACAATCCTGTAGTAATATGTAATTTTTACCTATATGTATTATCATTATAATATTGTTGTTTGCTCTTCTAGAAAAGAGATATTATTAAGACTATACATAAACTGATAAACGTCTACTAAATTTATTCTCCAAATCAGTAAAACTATTTAGGTAGATACACTGCTATTTCGGTGTTTGTCAGTGAAAGCACGCGTATCAAACATAATAATCAGCTAATTCCGCCGAACAAACATTTGAATTTGTACGTGCCCTTAATAATGAATATGTAAGATAATAATTATAATAATGACTAACAAAGGGTTGTGCAGCTATAATATTATTACACAATGCTCTGTCCACATTATGTTGTAAGTATAGTTATTCGATTCAAACTGTTTTTTTTACAAAATATTTAAACCTATTATCGAATGCGTTCAATACAGGCATGGTACCTAATACCTATACGCATCATTATGTGTCGAAAAACGTAGTTCATTGTAGTATTATGCGTTGGACGAATTCTCGACGGCGATCCATTTAACAACATACAAATAATAGTAATAATAATAATAATTTAATCCGCCGCCCGTATTGACACTTGTAAAAGGGAATACAGCACGTGTTACCTTTTTGCAAACGCATATTATATGTACATGTTTCTAACATGCTACCTCGGTACGCGCGCCTATTTATGATGTATATAGGTACGGACTGTTGACACCTATTTACACGGACATTTAGTGAATGGAGGTGCCTACCAGAAAAAAATAACGTGCGAATTCCCAATAACCTGCCGGCGGGGGCACAGACAAATAATATAATATATTGTACGATCTACGACGGGATCTGCTTGGGGTTGTGGTACAGGACGTACCAATCACGTACGCACAAAGGTGTTTCGCATAAAATATCGTTAACTCGTTCCCTCAAAACGAACGCATATTATATATTTTTTATTTTGCTTAGCATTACTTGTTATTATAATATACGACTCGAACCGCTTCGTAGTCACGTACCCGGGCATACCTGTACCTATATACCTATATACCCCTGCACACGCACACACACACACACACACACACACAACAATAATTCACATAATTATTAATACGCGTGTTGGTGCGGTGTTGCCACGCGGGGTTGGCGTTGAATTATGCAACACACATTGATACAGGAAATTAGTATTGGATGCAAAATGTGCGGTTTCTCGTTTGCCACGAGAATTGGCAACTGTCATACAATATGTATAATAATATTATAATATATACAATGTACATGCGCCATACATTTAAAAGATGTTGAATTCGTGTGACAGCACAATTTGACAATTCAATATATATGTATATATATTATTATTATTATTATTATTATTATTATTATTATTATTGCAGATGAATGGGTACATTTTAAACAATCCAGGTGCACCATAATTATTACACAGCAGTATATAATATCAAATGTAAATACCTAACAGTATACAGACATATAGTGATTTGTCAGTCATTCTCATCCTTCCCCCCCCCCCCGGTTTTCTTTTTACCAGTGATTTATTCTAATTTTTTTAATTTTTTAGGTACGCCTATTTTTAACAATAAAATCGATCATGTGGGAAACATGTATTAAACATTATACACCAAAGATAATGTCCATTTTAATACGTTTAAAGATACTATGATGTTTTAAAAATTACAGTTATTAGTACGACTTTTATTTTTCGTTATTTTAGTTAATCTTTACAGTTAATAATTAATCCGTTCAATTACATTCATCTTTTGTCTTTTAAGTTAATGAGGGAAGAATTCTGGGTACGTTATGCTAGAGGTAAGTTAAGATATTAAGGAATTGTATTGAACTTATGTTTGGAATGAAAATCTTAGTATTTTGATTTTTGATATTTATTTTAGATTAAAAGTTTGAAAAATACTTGGTAAATATCTAACTATTCAAAATGTATGCAATCTTAATGATTAGTAATGAACATCGAAGTTATATTCCTCGTTTCTAATTTTAAAAACAATATACATGTAATTATTGATATTGTAAAATGTAATTATAATTGTTTTATATACACATCGGCCATTACTTATTATTAATGCACAACAGGTACGATTCGATTTAAATATACTCCATTTCCATTAACAATCAAATTCAATTATTCATTAATAAATAAGTCTACACGACAATGTGCATATAAATTATGCACAATATTATGTATATATATAATTCGACATAAATAATAAATTGGCTTTTCATATCCATTTGAATTGTAAATCCTAATTCATTACATTGTTTTTATATTAACCTATGTTATTTCTATCACGTTTATCGTGTAAAACGTTTTGTATCTGTGCATAATATATTAATAAATATGCGATGCAATGCCTTTATATACCTACAAAAATAAATCAAAAAAGCTGAAAATAAGCCTGTTTCGGCAAATAGACTATGATGGCGCGAAATCGGAAGTATGCATACTGTCATAAACGTTATTATCAAGAGAAACTATAACAAAGACATCTAGTATAGACTGTATAGTATCTACAACCGATATGGTTATACATTAACGTTATATTATATGCGTATGAAACCTCAACCTGAGCAACAACGAAAGCCAATGATCTGAAACTTCTAATATTTGAGAGAAAAATCCTAATTTCTTAAACTTTGATATATGTGGTTCCACATTAAACCTGAAAATCAGGAAGATATGAAAGAAAGAACAGTGAAGACGTCGAACTCGTTTTTAATATACCAAACATAAGTTCTAATATCCAACCAAGGATTAGCTAACACATAACTACATAAGGTAATAAATACTATAATAATCAATAATCTCAGTGGAAAGATGGGCCTTGTCAGCCACGGCTTGATGGATTGAACAACGATTTGGAAAGCCTGGGGACGACGGAAAATGAAGAAGCTTATGATCGAGAAAGTATTAGATATTTGGTAGAGCTTTAAAATGGTTCATGACTTGTAAAAGCTAAGAAAAAAATAAACAAATACATAGGTACTGACAGTTTGCTGAAGAAGGTAATTCGTAATTAAATACCTAATTAATCCATTTTAATTAGGTTATGGTTGTTCAACTGATGAAGTAGTTAATTCATTTGCATTGATACTTTTTCCAGTCATTCCCTCAAAAATCAATAATTTAATTAAAACCATATTAAACTCATCCAATTTATGACTATAAATTAAATGCTAAAAAAAATGTACTTGTGCATTAAAAATAGCCAAAGTAAGCAATAATGTAGATTTTACCATGTCAATGTGTAAGTTATAATGTAATGGATGTGTTAAATTTAAATTCAGTGATAAATGATTGTATACGTATTTACGTATGGAGGCGATCTTTCACCCTATATTGATAAGTTTATTGCATCATTTTTTAGCTGCGAATTAACTCAGCATTATCCAGGGATAAACAAAAATTTGTATCTTATATGTAGGTATATTGCTATTATAGGGTGAGAGTTTTATAGTTGCATACATAGGCAAAGACATACCTACAATTAATCAAAATATTTTGAAAACATCACTGCATAATATGGTAACATATACCAACACAGGTATTAACCTAAATGAACATTTTAAATTCTAAAGACTAAGATATTCTAATTTTAAAGTGTCTATAACGAAAATTGAAAGAATTACATTTTTAGATTTGTTTGTGTTTCTGTAAAAATTACTTATTGAAGAATTTCGTATTAAATTTTGAAGCCTTAGCTATAAAAACATAGCATGAAGATCATTTTAGGCTGTAGATAATATTGCCCTCTATTAATAAAAAAAAAAATCAAATTTGATTGATTTTACAGGACAAGACAATTATTTCCTTAGACTTTAGAGTGTATTTTTGAAGACAAAATGATTAATATGACGTAAATTGTGAATGCATTAAGTCCACAGCTCAAATTATGATAATCATAATTATAAGGTACCTACACAGTGATTGATTTTTACAACTATTGATTTTCAAGTTAAGGATAATTTGGCATTTAACTTTAATATTTAATTTAATAATGTACCTACTGGCTACTCATATATACATTGATAGGTATAAGTACTAGTTTTTGTACTTCTGTGGCAATTTCGGTTAGTTTGTATTATAATTATTATTTAGAATTTGAAAGCAATTATTTTTATTTATTATCGAAAAATAAATATTATTTAATATTCAAATAGTTGTTCATATTATACAAGTTTTTTTTAAATATTCGTTTAAATTTTTATGGAACATAATAAAATATTATTTCAGTGGTTTTCTTTATTAAATCGTATTATAAAGACATTATGATTTCTTGTCACGCGCCTTACTTCATTTCTGCCTTTCATTTTTACTTTAATAATAACGGAGTTTCTTTATAATTTGACCTTTTTTATCATTATAAACCTTATCTTTTGTTTAAGCTGCCAGAACTCAAAATCCATTACTTTTATACTTTTTTACTTAATTATTTAATTATTTAATGTGTCGCACTTTCATTTATATATTTAAAAATCGTACTTTTTACAAAACCTATCGTTTAATTAGAATTAAAAGTTGGTTGTTGTTTTTTTATTCACAAATGTTTGCATTATTACTGTAGTGATATCTTATGTTTTTTTTAAATCTTAAAACTTCTCAATGATTACTGAAAAGATATTCAATATATACCTATTACTAAATTGTTAAAAAATAACATTACTTCATTGTTTTAATTTTTAAAAAAATATTGAACGTATTCTCTGTACGACTGAAATTTTTCAGTATTTTTTTATTTTGATAATGATCTTTGTCTTATGCAGTCAATTATTTACAGTGTATTATTCCTAGTTATAAGTGTAGGAATGAAGTGTTTTGAATCTTTTTTAGGATTTTATGTGTACAACAAAAATGTTAACTTACAGAGGAGTGTGTAAAATACTCATGTACTTATTATAAAGTCAATACAATGTCCGTCATTACATAAATTGAAAAATGATTATAGATATACATTATTGTTATAATTATACCACCCAGTAATCATTTAGTTTGCGCACATGGTTTTTTTTGAAATTTATAGAGCAATGGATTTTCAACTTAGCAAAAAATAAACCCCTACATCTACTGTTTTGTTACGTTTAAACTCAATACGAAAATAATTACTAGTTCCTAAGCATTTATAATACGAATTGCAATTGAACAGAGTACCTACTACCTACCTATATATTCATAGTGTGATTTTATTTAAGAGATTAAGTGGTTTGAAATAGAAGTATTTGTAAAAAAGATTTAATGCACGATTTTTATATTCTCGTTGCGGACTTTAAATATAGCAAATACATTTTGGAAAAACGAAAACTTAAATAATTAATGTTTATAGAACCAGATGCACATGTTTCAAAAACGATTGTGATCTCATAAGAATGGTATTATTGCCACCAATGTATTAACGTATAAGTTAAAGTCAAAATAAAAATGGAATTATACATTTTAGTCTTGTTGTAGAAATATAATATTTTTGTTAGAATTTTCAATCACATATAATCCTAAAATATATTCAAAATCTGTTTTTGAGTGGTTTTGTTTATTTGCCGTATTACAAACGTGACATTCCGTGGACAATATTATTATTGTGTTGGAATTATAACCATCTGCAAAAATATCGTAGTGTATAAATAAATTTAATCCTTTTTAAATATTTACAAAGCATTTAACTCTCGCGTTTTGGGAACGTGCTTATATATTTTAACAGTTTTCTTCGGCAGCCGGCCCATTCAAGACGCACTGCTGTCTGCTGCATGCAGTCCGTCGAGTGATGTGACGGAAGAAGAAGAAGGAAAAAAAGAATCAAAACAAAACAAATACGTTGAACACGTTTTTCCGTTTATTGACGTGCCTTTCTACGAATATTATTCTAATGGCCAAAATCTTGTACCCGTTTCCCTTTGATATACGTTCCGGTCCATATTTAATTGTCGATGCCGCGGTGTGGCGTGCGAGTGGATTGAAAGAAGGGAGGGGGGGGAGAGAAAAAAGGTTCACCGATCGACACGCTTACGCAAACGACATGTACCACGGTCAGCATTAGAGGTCCCGGGGACAGGTACTATATAATAATAATAATAATAATAATAATAATAAATATAATGGTCTCTCAGCGTGCGTATAGGTCAGGTACACACCCATCCACCGTGGCATCTACCTGCGGCGGAGGAGAGACCGAAGTGGCTCCAGTCGCGTCTGGTCCCTTGCAAGTGTCACACACGGGTCGTCGACAGAACACGTTATAACGTCCGCGCAGTCGTCCGTATTTCTCACCGGTTATAACCGACACAGTGACCATCCCGGCCATGTGTCGTCCGCACGCGATCGTTGCCGCGGCGCTGCTCGCACTGCTGCCTTTCTGCTGCCTCGCAGAGCAAGGCGTGAGCGACACTCTGATGAAGATGTTCCGCATAGAGACGATGGAAAACCGCACCGCCGACGTCCAGATACCCAGCTACATGTACGAGTTGTACGAAGACGCGGGGAATAGGCGATACGACGTGATAAGGAGCATCACGCCCACGACGGGTAACTATGATCAATGCATTGTATAATTATTTCCTGATATTATTTTACCCAAACTAGAGATGCACTATATTATAATATTTGTATGTATGTATGTATGATATGAATGATATGTAATATTGTGTACGTGCAAGTGTCCTGTTTGAGAATAGTTTTAAATTAAGTTTACGATGATATTTTAGAATTTTTAGATATCATTTAACACAATAACGATTAAAATTCATAAGTAGGTAAAATATGAGTAGTGACAATGAATGTTTAGTAAAATAGTTGATAGCACATAATTTGTAGTTTATTGAGAAGATTAACTCTGATTATGTGTACATACCATTCAACGATGCAGTAGCGTGTAATGTGTATCATATAAAAATAGGTGTTGCTCAAATAATTTTAGGTTACCTGCCCCTAATTTTACTGCTCTTATACCGTCCTATAAAATGCCCTATTTTTCTTCTACCAATATCCACCCACCCATATTTAAGGTGTTGCCTGAGCCACACTTGGACCCTATGTTACCCGCCACTACAACGATGTACAATCAGTTATGAAAATATATTTTTCAAATTTTCAAATTAAAATTAATAGCAATATTATAGTTAACTTTGATCATACGCAATTATCCGAAATTACGTAAAACAATAAAAAAAAAATTCAAAATTATTGAGAATTTATTAATAAATATTTAACTAGGCATGTATTACATTAAAATCTATAATATCATGCCGACTTTTTTTGTATTTAAGTTGTATTGATCAACTATACAATCGATTTATTTATCAATTTATGAAAAATATTTTTATTCTCGGACGTAGGTATATTATTTTGAGTTAAATTTTTAACTGTTCGCTATTTCCTACTCATAAACAATAACATGTGGTATTAACTATTTACTATCGAAAAAATATGACAAAACCAATGATATCTTAACGAGGAGTGGTTTATCTTTAATAATAATATATGAATTTATACTTTCTATTGTATTAGAATGTTAATTATTAGATACCTATATCGTAGATATTTTATTCATTCACGCGTAAAGTCAGGAGACAGGAGAATGAGAAGCTCTCGGAAAAATTGCATGGACATTTAAAAATACTGTCAGTGTTCTGTGAGTCTATTACGTAAGATGTAACCATGCATTAAAATTTTAATTTGTACGAAGTTTACTGCAAAAGTTTAAATCGATATATATACCCACAGCATTCACAGTGTACAACATACTAACATACTTATGAGGGATCCTCGTTAAGCCTCCCCTATATGGCTATATAACAAATTATTAGTTCCACTCCCCGAAACAAGATCCTGGCTATGCCACTGCATTAATCAATTGTATTAAATATATTGAAAATATTACAGAGAATAAAATACAACGTTATATTATTATATCCCTGTTTCTTCTTCAAACACTTCTGAGCAGTTATAGTATTAAATATTTTGTTTCTTAAATTTACTTATCGCTTATGTCTCTATATTTCGGTGATATTTAAATTTTAATATTTGTAATACAAAAATAATTGGTGTATAAATATAATTATATATATCCATACTTTATTCAAAAAGATATTTAAAAATAAAAAATAGGTCCAAAGACCAAAATATATTATTAAGAAGATATCAATGTTTAAATCAAAAAATATAAATATACCAGTGGCGTATTTAGAATCTTGCTGCCCTAAGTACAAATTTATTTAATGCCCTCTTTCACCACTGCATTTCTTACAGTGGCAATTTTTCTCACCCATAAAAAACTTACAGCACTTGAGTTAAATTTTCTACACAAAATAAAGTGCTACCTGAGCCAATTTCCCCACCACCATGCCCCTCTAAATATGCCCCGGAAATATATCTGTGCTATATTTTTGCTTTGTAGTGTGTGAGTTAACATGAAATATTTGTTATACCTGTTAATTAATGTATAACTAATAATATGAACTATAACATAAATATATATACGTTTCATCCTATTTTTTAAGTTATTATTAATTTAAAAATGATAAAAGTTATCAAAAATCTTGTTTTAGGAATAAACAAAGGATAGGAAAAATAATTTTAGTATATTTTGTCCTTAATTATAAATAAATTCACAGACATTTCAAATATTGATAATAATTTAAAAAAATTCTGTGACTAACATTAAAAAAATACTTTATTTATTATAATAACTACCTAAATTATAATATGTGGTTAGTCATACGTATACAAATGTAGTATATCCATGATATTTGTTCTAAATTAGTTTTGGTAATAACTATTACGTTGGTAAATAATAAATACTTACTTCTATGTTTGTGATAACTATATGTTACTATATTATATATGCAAACAATATGCGATTCTCATTTAATATTCTTAATATAAATCTTAATGTTTAAATTAATAATATTAAATTTAAAGAGATTTGTTGTTTTTAGTAATATAACAAAGTACATAAGGTTTATTTGTAGCTAAATTGTGCACTATTGGCCATTACAACTGATACCACCATATAAAATATATAAACATTTATACTTTATGTCTATACGAACAGTATGGTATACAATTCTTTACGTTTACCTTTCTTGTGTAGGCGCCAAAAAAAAAACCCAGTGGCGTCAAACCAGGTGACCTAAAAATATGTCTTTAAAATACTGTAACAAAAGTATTGTGTTGCGTATTAGTGTAATATTTTAAAGTAGTATTTTGTCGATCTTTTGTTATTTATTTTCACGGGATTTACATTATTATATTTATTTACTTTATTTAGATGTGATTTATAGCAATTAAATGACGTATTTTATCCCTACCTACCTTAATAAGGTCAGAAATCATTCAAAATAAAATATAAATACAAATAAGACGCAGTTTACTTTGCCTATATTATTATAACACCTACCCGGTAATCGTTCATACTCATCAAACAGAACAATTGTATATTAATTATTGTTTTTTTTTTTTAATCTAGTTCCAGTGTATTCAAAATATTTCTAAATTCATAAAATATCGTATAACGGTATAAGTATTGCATTGAGAGTACTCGAGTTGGCAGGATAATCATTTCTATAAATTACTTTTCGACTTCATCGGATCTAATTGTCAAGTCAGGTCGGTATGTGAAAATAAAAGTTTAAGCCCTGTTGGTCGGTCACAGAAATCCAATTATTGTCAAAGTTCGGTGTAAAGAGTTGACTCGAATAACAACTGAAAACTTTCCAGTGGATTGATTGTTTTTAGAACTTCATATAACTTAATTACAAAGCCGTAGTGCCGATATCCATTATAAGATTATTAAAATTGAGACTCAAACTTACGCCATAATTTCAATTTCGAATGATTGGTTAAGGAATTTGTAGTTGTTATAAAAATTGTGATTAAATAGTATAAATAATATAGTTTGATTAGAATAGTTTACTAAAAATTTTAGAAAATTAATTTAAAGTATGAACAATTTACCTGTATACAATATCGTTTTGTGCTTATATTTATAATTAATGTTGGTTATAACAGCAGATCAGTATATCTACTTTGATGTTTGATTTCTTCCATATAGTATAATGTATAATGTACATATTATTATTGTGTTTGAATTTCTATAGTAATTTGGAATTTCGTTTATGGCAGAACGTAGTACGGGTGTGTCGACGACACTTCATACAAACATTAGAAAAAGACATAAATTCTGGTATTCGGGGTGTATATATATACAAAACGCACATGGAAAAAAGGGTCGTTTTCGGAGTTTCAAATTTGGCGCCTTGCCTACTCTATACTTCCGTTTAATTTGCGTAGCGACGCCGTCTGGATAACGTTTAGGAACATCGTCGTTATGGAAACACACGAAAAAAAAAAATTATATTACTATACACTCTATACGTGTACGTCATCTTGTAGTCTGTAGATCGCAGGCTTTGCTTGTGTATGAAAAACCGATTGTAATTGTTTTACGATTTTAGTCTTGTAAAATATTCGGCCCGTTTGGGAGACAAATTTCGTTTAATATCGTGTGCAGTATACTATAAATATGTGGAAGGAGCGAACAAAGTGAAAAAAAATATGTCGTGTGCGTGTGTATGGGTGGGTGTTGGTTGTGTGTGTGTGTGTGTAAAAGAAGACAAAATGTAACCCAGCGGTGGGCCGTAGGAAATGGTCGTGGCGCCAGGGACAAAGGACTTTTGTCCGAGGTAAAATACACATAAATGCAGGTGCTCGTTGTCGTCGTCGTCGCGTCCTTAGGGTCAATGCGAGTGTCTAATCTAATGGCTCGTCAATTGGTTCGTCGCCGCCACCGCCGCCGTCGCCGTCGCCGTCGAGACCGCCGCCGCTGTCGCTGCCCGTCCCATACTTAGGCAGACGTGTCTCTCTGGGGCGACACACTATTTTAATCCTTTGTAACTCCTCTTCCCACCCACAGCCCTTCCCCCCCCAACCCCCCAAACCACACACGCGCGCACACACATACTTACACACGATTATTATTAAGGTACATGGAAATAACAACGAGGAATTCGGGATTACATTAGATATATTTTTTTTAAAACTGGATTTCTGTTGAGATTTTGCCTTGTCAGTCTGGTCCCGACAAATCGGATTTAAGGGGTCGTTATCTGCGACTTCCACGATACAAGTAAAAGATAAACGGATTATCGACATTTTAAAGTAGGTACGTGGGTATGCAGTAGGTAGGTACATGCGTTTATTATAAATATGTCTACGGAGGACGGTGGTATGACGCGCGGGAAGAGGTAAAGACAGCACTGACAGATTCGCGCGTTAGCAATAACGATATTAAACACCCCAGTTTGTTATGCTTGTGAAACGCGATTATGGGTTGTCAAAAAATACTACGTTTGATCAAAATTAATCCAAAGAAGATAATATTATATTATAATAGAATGGTACTGGGAAAATACTTAAAAATGAAATAAGTAGACACAAACACAATATAATAGTATGTATTATATTTTAACTTCATAATGATGGTTTAATTCTATTGTTGTGCAATATGTTTTATTCCACTTAATTTACACCAAAATCTGTTGACTATGTTGTGTGTTTTTATTTTTTTCACACTTTTTACAAAAACACATAATATAATACTCATAATACTTTTATTTTCTAATTTAGTCAACTATTTTGAACACAATATATTACAATTAAGTACCCACAATAACACGATATTTTCTATCTATTAGATGTTTTTAATTATTTTATTTCATATTGAGAAAATTGACAAATCTGTAAATTTAATAATAGACAATAGTACAGATCCAGGGCCTCAAACCCGTTTTGTCTTTATTTGATGCCTGTGAATACATTTTAAGCATAGCATGTATTTTTTAACAAATTTTAAAACATTCAATACATGTTTTCATTACAATTAGTATAGCAAGTGAGATTAATAAAAAAAGGTGGCCGTCAGCCTAAAAAGGTTCAAGACTCCTTGTATGGATAATAGATATTGAAATAGGAAATTACTGCAGTTAATGAAATATAATATAAACGATATAGGTACCTCAAAGTTTATATTTTTTTATATCATTTAGAAAGGTTCAAAATTACTGTAAATAGTAATTATATTATATTAAAGAATAAAGATAAACTGTAAAACTGGTATTTTTAATGGAATCAAATAAATAGTATTACCATTTTACGAACATTAAGTGAAATTAAAATCTAAAGAATTTTTAAAGAACTCAATAGATATTTACCTATATTGTTAAATAAATAATCCAACTACATTGACATTTAATCATCAGTAATTACAATATAACAATCATTGGTTTTTACAATGCTAATGTGGCAATTAATAAACAATTTAATGGGTACAGTGCTCATAAATTCGATTATACATGTATTATGTTACAATTACACTAATGGAGACCATGTCGCTTTATTAAAATCTTAACAAAAGATAAATGGCATTTATTTTTAAAACATTTATTTTTTTAAACTTCCTGCTGAGTGCTAAAGAACCTATAGATAGTTTTGTTTCACAATGATAATATGCGTGTATTTTATTATTTTTTTCAGAAACACTGGGCGCATATAGTCAGTTTGTTTATGACCTGAGTACACTCGAACCCTCTGAAATGGTCCAAAAAGCAGTCCTTCAGCTTGAACCTAACACAAATCATCAATTTAGCAAGGCCATAAATGTATCGTTTTTCGCTTTGCCTAAACAAACAATATCGAAAACGTATTTAGGGTCGGGAACAATACACGGCACTTTAGATTTGGTTAACACTTTGGGCCCACAGCCATTAAATGGCTTCGACCAACTAGTCGTCCAGATGGAAGGTACGGCAAAATTGTCTATTGGACTTGTGTTATATTCGATAACCGCTGACGGTGGATATGCAAACGGCAACGAATTGGCAAACTTACTGTATGAAACTACAATTAAAAGACGTAAGAGATCAGTGGCTGATAATGAAATTGACATTAAGCGAAATCATTTCACAAATGAACCAAAACGAAAGAAGAAGAAGCAAAAAGTTTCCCGAGTCAACAAACTACAGGTACCTAATGAAATATTTACTCTTAAATAAAAATATAAACAATAATTTATTTTTCTGATTTTCATCTCTGACAATATTATAATAAATAACGTGACTGCAAATATATATTGGCATATCAAATCATTAAATAAGTTTATTTTTTTTTTTTTTGATTTCGTTAAAGTTTCGAATTGTACCACATGAATAATATGTCTATATTATAGGTACACGTGTTACTACATTTTGTTTTTAAGTTAAAGTAATAGTTTTTCAGTGTCTTGTATTTTATTTTTTACACTCTGAAGTATACAATTTATATTTTGATTTTAATGTAAAATTTCTATTACCTACAAATATTTTAAGTCACTTTTAGTGCAAAAAAAACACATAATAAATTGTAAAGCTAATAGCTGTCGCATAGAATTAAAATTATAGGTACTACTTATGCAGTGGTACATAAAACTCCTTAATAATATACAATTTTAATTAGTCGATGCATTTATAAATTACTGTAATGGAACGGATAAGTAAAAATTCAATCTTACAATAATATTTAATCAGTTTTAATAAATAATCAAAGAAATTATAATATGCATAAACAAAACATTTCAGTCGCTCAAGCATGGTATAAAACCTATTAAAAAGCGATTAAAAAAGCTAATGAAAAAAATAATTTAAAGTATGAAAATTTGATGAATTTTTTGAACAATTAGTGTGGTATATTTTTGAATTTAGATAATTATGTAAGTACCCTATTAACGTAAAAAAATTATCATGTTGGAATCATCACGCTTTAAAATAATTAGGAATTAGGATAAAAATATTTTCATTGAATTTTATAATAAGTATTAAACAATTTATATTTTAATGTAATAAAATATATAATTATTTATTACCAACTCGTGCCTAATCAAATGTCACGATTCGTCATATAGGCAAAGTATAGTAGGCGCTCCCGAGTATTTATTAGGAGATGGCTATTTTTATAATATGAACATGTGATATATAAAATACTAGAAGCTACAGAACTAAATAATGTATTCTGACAAATATTTCTTTACATTGCAAGGAAAATGATTAAAATTATAGCAACTAAAAATGGAATTAATAAATATACTGATTACTGTAAGGATGATAAGTTATAGGATTTGCATATTTTTTTCTATATCTCCTATTTATAGCTAGGTGAGCTAAAAATCTGTTCTATAACATAATGATTAAAATTTTGCATATTTTTGCATTTATTGGTAGTTTTCTTTAAAGTTGCATATTCATGTTTTTTGTGCATAAAAATGCGTATTTATTAAAATGATTTATTATTTTATGGAGTTTTATAAGTTTGTAGTCAATAACCAATAATATTTAGTAGTATATAAAAGTAAATATAGGACTAGTATCATTTATTATTTTATGGAATTTTATAAGTTTGTAGTCAATAATCTATAACATTTAATAGTATATAAAAGTAAATACAGGATTAGTATCTTATCTAATCGTTTATAGCTATATCAATACTTCAATTAAATTAGTCTAGCGACAACCGTTGCTGTATAATCGTGTGTTTGTTCGTATGATCGTTTAGAAACCTAATTTAAAATGCCGAAAGTGAATGTAATAAAGAAATACATTACAGAATTTGAGTGAACAAGTTTTTTCTACAGATGGTGACATTTTATTTTGTAAAATTTGCTCCGTTAAAGTTAACTCTGACAAAAGATTTACCGTAACGCAGCATTTAAAGACATCCAAACATGAGCGATTGCTGAACCGTAAACAGACTTATACCATTGTATTTTTATTTTTTTAGATTAAATCACCTGACTATCAATATATAATCAATACACCTACCAATCATTTATCATATCATATTTATACCTAGTACTAATTTTTTATCACTCAGTTAAAAATTATTTATATTTTAATAGAATCAAATTTAACGAAATATTATTTATATTAATTTATTTTAAACATGTTTTTTTATTTATAGAAAAAATTGCATTTAATAATATAATATATTTTGAATATATCATAATTTTGTCTTGTATATTTTGTCTATTTTAGCTCTTATAAGTTCTCATCCCTACTGATTAGATTTTACAGTAATAAATAGGATGGTAAACATCTACATGTTCAGATTATCTCCATTTTGTTTTACTAAAGTAGCTATAACGTATCAATTATGCGTTCAATATTTTATTTTTAAGTAAAAAACTCTACAATTCTCCATAGATTATATTTTTACATTAACGGACACAATATGAATTTTAAATTTTAATGAAAATAAATTTGGTAAGTTGTACACTTGTAACGCGTAACAAGTAGACACAACACATGCTGGCGTAACCACATAATAGATACATTTCAGATTTAATATTCTCTGTGGTGTTGTGACTTTATTATGCTCATCGAAAGTTCACATACAATCCCATGCCTACGCATATTTTACTTACATTTAAAATAACTTGGATTTAATTAAATCAATAAATACAGTTTAATAACTAATGGTAATAAAGTCAATACCTATAATATTTGGGACAGTAATATTTTTGTTTGATTTGTTATAAGATAACAGACATAATCTATTATATTTACCGCCTTACCGGTCGCAAAACTTAAATATGAGCCGCCCCTAAAATATCTAATGTAGACAAACAACAGTGCACACATTCAGTTAAGAAATCAAACTTTTTGTAGGTTTAAATATTTCGTCGGTATGTGCCTCCGTAAATGATATCAATAATACGTATTGTACTATCGAGTGCACTGTTTTCCGTTTGTATAATACCTAATATAATAAATGATCAAGGAAGAGTAAAACGTTGTCCTAACCTATCCCTGGTAATATATTATACTGGGTGATACATTTTACGTTGCTACATATTATATAAGACACTCATTGTTTTAGAAAACGCTAAAATTTTTGAAAACATTTCGTTTACCTACATATTTTTATATCATGATAAAACAAAACTTTGGAAACATCTTTTATTTTGTGTGGCTTAAACCAATGGTGTAAGACAAATATTTTCAGAAACCTACCGGTTATTGAAACAATGCTTGTGTTACGTAGCGGATTTAAATGGATAACCCGGTACAATATGTGCATATTCAATTTTTAATTTTCCATAGTATACATTATATCAGGTGGTGTTTTTCAATAATTACTATACGACGTGTTTCTTGCAGGCCGTGGACACTGGTGACACAATCACGTTTACCAGCGCGGACCAGTGCCGGATGGAGAAGCTGGTGCTCAACTTCGCGGACATCGGCTGGGAAGACTGGGTGATCTACCCGAAGGGGTTCGAGACCAATTACTGCGCGGGTGGTTGCCTGTTCCCGCTGGGCAAGGGGTCCAAGCCCACCAACCACGCGACCGTGCAGAGCCTTGCCAGGTCGTTCGGCCGGCTGTGGGACGTGCCTGAGCCCTGTTGCGTGCCCGACACTCTCGCCCCACTCACGCTGCTCTACATGGACCGGTCCAACCACGTGCTGCTCAAGAGCTACCCGGACATGAGGGTGGTCACGTGCTCGTGCAAGTGACGTGGTTCTGTACCGCGACCGCGGTTGTGACGTCACGTCCGATGACGTTGCGCATCGCGGCAACGGTGGTACATCGCACGATGTACCTATATTATACTACCTATATATTGTAATTTATTGTTCGGCCGGGCGTGTCCTGGTGATTTCCTTGGACACGTTCAAATAGAGTTCCAAAATGCAATCGTGTCAGATACTCCTGATATACCGCGTACCTTTTATTATATAACCGAGGTGGTGATTATTGATTGGTTATTGATTATTGGTGTTAATGTCAGCGACTGTATAGATTTCTTTCCTAGTCGATTTTTGTAATTTCGTAAAAAAAAAAATATTTATCATATCGTATTATGTAGGTAGCGTGAAATGTTTGTTTGCACAGTGCATCAAAATTTCATTAAAAACTAAAAAAAAATTAAAATTATATACTTAATGACAAAATGTCCTTGTAAATAAATCCCTTGTTGTATAATACACTTCAAGTGGCAAACATTAATATTCATACTTTCTTCGTACAAAATTGAACTGGAACATTATTAGAGCAGACTTCGTTAAATCGGTCATTCCGTACAGTACACATACAAACTTCATTGTATTTTATACAAAATAATTATACGTTCGTACTGTTATTAAAGTATTTCGTTTACCCGCGTCATGCACAATACATCGAAATAATAATAACATTTTTTCGGCCAGTGACAAAAGGAAAAATTCAGTGTTACCAAACCATGTGGTGTTTTGTATAGTTTTAGTTAGTGAATATTACATAGGTATATCATTGTGTCCATTGCGCAATATTTATAAACCGTTATTATATTAATGCTATTTATTGAAAAATTGTAATGTTAAAGTATACTATTATTATTATATTGTTATCGTCTGTGATAACAGATAAGTGCTCAATAACATTAATTATAATAGTAATAACAATAACATAATATAAACATTAAGTGACGTCACATACATGATTAATAAATAAGTTATATTATACTTTATTATTATAATACACCTACAGTTGGTCCAAATCGCCTATTTCGACAACGGTTTCAGTATTAGACGCGTGACATCGGAAAAAAAACGATAGTTTTATATAGTATTTTTTAAAATATTTTACGCACTTGAGTGTGTGATATTATTTAGATTCGAATAAATGCGTTGTACAGTTGGACAGTAATTAAAAATTATTATCCACATCGAAAAAATGTGCTTACCATTAAAATTATATTATTATTTTGTTTTTAAATTGTTTATTTTGAATTAAATATTATGAATGTGACGACGCAGTATGTTTGATAATGATACTATCGAAGATTATAATATTATCATATTGATATTTTGTTTGATACTCTGATGCATCTAGTATCTATATTATAAATTAAAATACCACGTTATATTATGTTATATTATTACCTTAAGTTTAAGATGATTGATACTATGTTTAAGCCGCTCATTTTCATTTGGATGTGTTAAGATATTTATTTTATCAATTCAGATTGAATAATAAATGTGTAAATACATAACAAACCTACGTTTAAGCCTATACCTATTTACCTATTGAGTACTCAGTACTCGAGTGTATTCCTTATTTTACTAATATTACTCTTATAGTATTATATATACTTAAGTGATTTCATCATATTATTATGTTTGTTAATTTCTACGGAGGTATGTGTCTTATACTCTTATATGTAAGGACGAGACACGATCATTCCATAAAAATATACATAAGAAAATTACATTTTATAATCCACACAATATCATTTTAATGAACCTATCAATGTCCATTTATGCAGTATTTTGTCTTATACAGGCTAATTCTAAAAGCATGTTCACCCCCAGTGGCGCAAAGGGGAGATTTTTATTGTTTACCATAATAGTCCTTAAAAATGGTTTTACAAAAATATAAAATATATGTTACATTGGATCTAGTATTTATACAAACTTCGTTCATTCTTATAAATTATAAATATTTATTATTAATATTTTCAAGTGGCCATAACCTCCATTTCTCAAAAAAATCAAAATATATTATCATTGACCTATTATCATTAATGATCAGCTACATAATTAAAAAGAGGTTCTTATCTGAAAAACAAAAGTTTAAATCTCCACAGAACACTTCCTTAAGTAGTACCGAAAAACCCAATAATTTAAAAAAATGTCCTTTAAGTATATTTAAAACTTTTAAAAATCAGAATTGTTATAAATTCGCTATTAAATGAAATAAACCACCTGCTATTGGTGAATCACCCTACCTATACATTATTATATTTTTTTTTTGATAGAAACTTAAGTTTTAGATTATCTGTGTTAGGTATATATACATTTTGCTCCGTCGGAATGGAGCAAGAATAATGACGTCATTGCTAAAACACGAACATGTTTCGATGTAGACCCGAACAAATCTATATTTTATATTACAATTCTCATATTATTTTAATAATTTATATAAATAAATTATTTAATATCTTTTTGGTGATCTTTGGGGGGTATTCCGTTTTGATAAATGTATTATTATATCGCATGTAGATAGCAAACGTAAAATATAATATTACCTATATGGTGGCGCAATCGGTGTGTATATACTTCAACACGTACCTCAATGTCATTCTGTGAAATAATAAGGAATAACTCTTTTTAAACCCATAATTTTTTTTTTAATTTGTGGTTTCTTGACGCAATTGATAAAAGTAGGTACACCCATAATATTTACATATAAATGAATCTCTATATATTATTATTGTGTGTAAGATATTAATATATTTATGTATTATTGGTATACTTTCATGCATCATCGTGGTTAAAAAAGCAACCAACGTTCAAGAAAAAAAGTGGTAGAGAAGGCTACTGCTCTGCTGTACAAATGTATTGGGGTCGAGTGTACCTTATCATTGAGCAAGTTGCTGTAATGTATGACGTGCTTAATTTGTATTCAATGATAAATCATTGCATACGAAAAACGGTTCCTAAGGAAGCCAGAATGTTAGTCAATATTACTAAGTATATTTTATGATATCTTTTGATATTTAGAATTTAGATTGCAATATTAAAGTAATTAATTTAACTGTTAGATACTATTATATTAGTAATACGATAGGTTAAGTTATTTTTTGCAGAGAACATTGAATTTGAAAATGTCATTGTATGTATATAATATACCTAATAGTTTAAATATCAATAATATAGATAAAAGTTTGTTTTTTGGTGTAACTAAAAAAAATCTGCCGGTATATTTGTTAAATGTCATCTTATACTTATATTAGCTTTTTCTATGCATAGTATAGTTTAAATATACATTTTGACGTTTGCTGTTTAGCTTTTGAAAGACATTTTAAATTTTTATAATTTTTTCTTCTGAGTGTTACATGGTATTATCGTATTAGTTGCTATAATAACAGTTTAAAAATATAATAAAGATCAATTTTTACAATCATTTAAAGTTCAAATTTTGAAAAAAATCACTAACATTTTCAAATTGCTAAAAAATTATATAACTTTCTAATTTATAAAATGTATATCAAAGTTTCTCATGTTATTAAGTAATTCATACCTGTTGTAACCAAAACATCTAAATAATATGGGTGAATGTTAAAGTTCCTATACGAGACCTAGGTCGTAAAAAAAATAAATATGTAAGTTCTTACACGGTAAAAAAAAATTGTGTGCGTTACTCTAATCATTTATAATTTGTTATTATTGGATTATGATAGTATGAATTAGGTGTATATTAATTATTTGAATACTAAATAATATGTAGAATTGAATTGAATTGTTTATTTAAATTATTTTTCTAGCATTATAATTTTTATGCAATACACAATATTAAATGCAATCAAACTGATGAATATGTCTAAAAAATAAAAATAATATAATACATTTCATAAATCAATAATTGTAAAAATGTATTATTACACTCACTAGTTCTCCGCACTGTAATATTATATCATAGATAAAAGATCGGTGTAACACGCACAGAATACAGATGATATATTTAACGCCTGTTTGTCTGTTTATTGTTCGGGAAAGGATTTAAAATGGATGAAACGATAATGACGGGGTTTTCGCAGGTATTGTATATTTTAATATTATAGGAAACCGGAAAATTATAGATCAACGAGAGCTCTAGATTGTCTGTATTCAATATTTATAAACTGTGTTATTATATTATGTTGTAAACAATATAATGACACAAATCCAATGAACAGAAGGCGGATTGGGTCGAAGTAATTATACTCATTCAGTAATTCAGCTTTATCTCGAGGAAATGTGATTTATTTGAACAGTAGAACTCATAGGTAGTATTGGACATTATCTAAATAAATAATAACCATGTAGGAGTATCATTAAAAAAGAATATGTTGACTTATTTCTCATAAAAATAATAATTAGTAATTGTTGTATCGTACATAATATAAGTAATAGGCAAGTACGTCATGATTAGAGTTAAGATTTTGGTGACTTTTGCATTTTTTTTCTATAAGTGCTATACAATTCTAACCAAAAACTAAATTTGTTTGGTGATAACAATTTAGAATGTGTAATTTTTACTTCGCATTTTTTTACATTTTTCGTATTTCTTGTGTGAAATGCTTTTTATTGCATTTTAAGCTCATTTTTACAAATATTACGTTAATTTTGTGTATTGATAACAATTTTTGTTTATCTTAAGTTTTTTTTAATGTATGTTGTATGGGTAATCTCAATTAGTATCTATAGCACCCTTAAAAAATAGTACCTTTGAACTTATATCGGCAACATATAATATGATCTATGTTATACACTATTTCGATAAAATTATTGTCACCTGTTGGAGCTAATCGGGAAAATCGAAACTATATTAATAATAATTAATAAAATAATATTTGAGTATATTTGTTTAATTTACTTCTTAAAACAAATTTTTAACTTTTTTGTGTAGCATAAAAAATGAATAAATAACAATTAATAATAATTTTTATTTTAAAATTAACTTTTTTTCGCTTATCAAAGCACATTTTTTGGTAATTTTTGCATTTTTTTAGTGCATTTTTATGTATTTTTTAGGTCATTAAATCCTAGCACTAGTGATGATATTATGATTATATTATAATGTCAATTATACTATGTGAATAAAATGCATAAGAATGCAACAAATGTTATTAAAAGAAATGTACATAGACTATTTTGTCATATAATTACTAATTAGCATGTCTTTTAATTCAAAATTAAATATTTTAACCATAACTAATATTAAAAAAAGTTCTTGTATTACATTTTCCAGTACCTTGGACGGATGATGCCTGTGAATACGTGACGTCCGTATTCGAGCTCGTGTATATTTTACTTCATAATTTATCTTCAGAGAATATTTTTCTACTCACATATTAATTTTTAAAAAAAAGTCCTATCCCAAGTTATGTGTTTTATTTATTCTTGAGCAGATTTAAAATTTTTCACTGCAAAATGTTATTTACGCCTAGAAATAAATAATTCCCGGACCCTAGCAATATACAAATCTGAACATTACGTGAGATGTTTTATTGTTAATATTTAAGTATGTGTACATTATGTTAATTAATTGGAATGTCAGTAGTTCTAATTCGAAATATAATGCAGATATTCTAGTACAGTTTTTTAATCTTAATATATGAAAATCACACATACAACGAATTTACGTGCAACGCATTCCAAAACTACTCAACCGATTTCGAAAAGATTATGCTCAATGTATATAATTCGGTAAGACTTAAAATATAAGAAATAATATAGTAATATTGTAATAGGAGAAATTAGTATTTATTGCCATTGGTTACTCGGGCAGATGAGGTAAAGGCATATATTAAATCGTCACGTTTATAGTTTCAAATACAGAAATTATACATTAAGACCAATATGAGAGTTGAATGTATGTTTGTAGCTTACATATAGGTAGATAGGTACTCAAAAACTACTTAAACGATTATGTAAAAATTTCAAATGGTTCTTGGAGATATCAGATTTAATAATGGTCATAATGAAGATAAAGATCCAACGGAAGTTTTGAACAAAAAAAAAGGCTGGCTATTAAATGACAAATTGGACACAAATTTTGAATTATATAGAGTAAGTCGGTATTTTTAACGGTCAACGAAGTACATAGTATCAGCTAGTTGCTAGTGTATCTAAGATGATATTGTATACTTTTAAGATCTCTAAAATATATTAGTTATTAAATTCAAAGTTTTAATTTTTAAATAATAATAATATTAATAATCAAATACGAATATCAATTAAATGCACCTAATATTTGTACATCATTATTAACCTAGCAGCCTGGAACATTGTGTAAACTGTTTTTTTTTTAAAGTATTATGTTCTATGTATTTTTATAATGTAGGCAATGTAAATGTATACTTACTCTTTGACCAAAACTATGTTACAGTCTATAATACGTATTATTATGTTACAACATCTAAATTATAAAAACACTTACGGAGTTTCATTTACACTTGGATTGTTCACGGTGTGTAGGTTTCTAATGGAGTTTATAAATCTACTGTGTTTTTTTTTTTCATTTAGATACTAGAATTTTGGATTTTGCTGAATACTTTGAAATCATTCTAATGGATATTTAAATAAAATAATGAAAAGGGTTGCTGAATGTCGAATAATTCATATTCAGACATTCAATAGCGGAGAGATAATAATTTTAAACAAGCAATATAGGTAACCAAAAAACATGTCAACTAAAACAAAATTACATAGGCAATATGTCTTCTTGTAGAAGTAGAAGTAAATGCTATAGACTTGCATCAGGGGCAAACAAATATAGGCTGAAATTCGGTTAAAATGTTTTTAAATTCAAGTCAATGAGATGAGACTGTTTGTCTTCTACGTAACTTGGTGAGAGTCGGAA